ATCTACGTCGGCTATCCATTGTGTCCGACGTAAATAATCCACATCACCGCACTTAAAAGAAGCTTCACACTTGCTGGAGGAGATTTGAAGATTTCAAAACCTTCCTTCTCCCGCGCGTTGTGTAAATCTCTCCGCCTCCTACTCCTTCGGTTCTTCCTTCCTTATAATTTTTCTGACATTTCAGTCTCCATTCATACGGCAAATGGGTGAGGAAGCAAAACTTTATGTTGACCTTGTGATTTCCTAGTAAAACTTTTTTTCTTGCTGATAGTGTTATCCTAAATGTGTATTTTGTACTTATTATGTGTGTTCCTTTTTATATTTTGAGTAGGAACAACCAGAAGAGAAGAGAAGAGAAGCCAGAGGAAAAACCAGAAGAAAAGCCAAGTCTGGGTTGCAGAACGGGCTGTTCTGCTTGGAGAACGGCCCGTACTCCTTGCAGAATGGGCTGTTCTGCTTGGAGAACGACCCGTTTTCCTTGCAGAACGGGTCGTTCTCTACGCAAAACGGGTCGTTCTTCTTGTAGTCATTTTTCTTCTTTTTTTTTTTAATTTTTTTGCAATTTTTACGTCGGACTTGTCATGTCCGACGTAAATTTACGTCGGTTTCTTACGGCCAACGTAAATTTACGTCTCCCGCTTCTACGTCAGAGGTTTTTCTGACGTAAAATCCCTAAAAATAACCGACATAAATTTACTATTCTGTACTAGTGATAGTTTTCTTAGTTTTCTAATAAAATTAATATCAACTTGATAACATATATATAACTTTAGATAAGGTGTTTGGACCACAAAATATCTTAGAAGATTAAGTTATGAAAATGTGATTTGTGAATGGTGATGATGAATAGTTTTACCCTTTAAGTGTTTGATTTTATGAATGTTTGAAGTACATATATTAATGTCTAGGAAGGATAAATCATAAGAAAGAACAATTATGAACAAGTTATGTTTTGAGTTAATTGCTAATGACTTGAAGTGTATGGTGATAACAATGTCTAATGAATCAATGTGTGGTATCGATAACGTTGTTAGATCTCTTAGCGACTATGGTTAGTGTATTAACATATGATTATGATTATACAATTTTATAATGATTCTATCTTGACATGTATCGAATGATGTTGTGTAATTATTATGTTTAAACTATGAACTTGTGTAATCATTGTGCTAATTAATGTTAATATGTAGTTGTAGTATGTGAGTATGCTATTGATACTGTTAGAAAAGAATGGCTCAATCCAAGAGGGGGGTGAATTGAATTCTATGACACTTTAAAAATTTTCATAGTTCCTAGGATCTTTATTTCAATTCAAACTTTTCTAATATGAATTTTCAAAGAAGTTGCTTAAAAAACTTGTTAATGAAAATGAGTCTTATATGCTTTCTTGATTAATCTTTAATAAACTTCAAAGTCAAGAACAATCAATATGCAACACTTTGATTCAGTTTAAAGCATTGTTGTGCATACAAACATGTTAATCAAGATTATTCTCTTTAACACACAACCAAGATATTACTCAAAGTAAAAGATAAGGGTAAGAGAAGATTGCACAAGTCTTTTATTCTGGTTCAGTCACTCCACATGTGACCTACATCCAGTCCTCAATCATAACCTGATCAAGATTTGTTCCACTATCTTAATGAAGAAGGTTTACAAGCATACCACACATGCACATACTCCTACATTCAAGATAACCACTTTCTTGACCCCAAGAATGCACCTCTTGTAGAAACTCACTACAAGAATTTCTTACCACTTGAGACACCTACTCAAGATTTACAATTATTCACAAAGAATTGAAGGAACAAATTCACTTGGAAGCTGAACAAATCAGATAGTGAATTCAAAAGAAAATCTTAATCTTTCTCTTTCAAGAATGTGATGATGATGATGATCATTTCTCAAAACATTTCAAAAACATTTTACTTCTTGGTTTCACAAAGAAAACACTCCAAGAAGGTCACAAAGACTTCACATTAACGTTTTTCTCTTTTTGATTCTCAGATCTATCTTGTTTTGAAGTTTCAAAATGTGAAAACTATTTATAACATTTTCAGAACCAGATAATCGATTATTTTAAAGAATAATCGATTATTTTGTTCTTCATGATTTCTGGAAATCAACTAAGAACAGATTAATCGATTATTTTGCAGGATAATCAATTATTCCAGAGAGTGATTCCTGGGATAATCGATTATTTAAAAAATAATCGATTATTACAGCAAGGCATCCTTTTTACCTGTTGCTGGAATAATCGATTATATTTAATGATAATCGATTATTTTGAGTCAGTTTTCAAAAACTTTATTTTATGTCTCAAAATAACTTTTCAAGTTTCTAACTCATCATCATACTCACTCTTAGTCAGATTAGATAAAGATTAACCTATGCACAAAGCACACACATGCAAAATAAGCTCAAAAAAATAATACAACTTATGAGCTACTCCTATTACACATCATAATAGTCATATTTTTTTCTTGACTTTGTTTTTGACTTGTTGATGTCCTTGGTCAGCTTTGATTCTCAGAATCCATACTTTGTTATTATCAAAACCTTCATTCTCCAAGTTTGAGCTAATTCACCACTCCATGAATCTCAACAAATACGACTGTGAGCTATGTATGAACTAATTGATGGGAACTCCCTAAGACTACATCGTCGAGCGTGATGTGAATCACATTGAGCGTAAACCATTCCAAAAGTTATGAGTGCTCTCTAGACGAGCTGCACCAGGCGTGAGATGATTCCTATTGGGCTCCATTCCATATATGACACTTGTTCTTGTATTTGATTTGAAGTAAATTATTTGAGTGTTTCTAATGATTGATGGGTGTGAGATAAACATGGATGTTCTTGATATATTGATTGAATGAGATACTTGATTTGTGCATGGCAAATCATATGTATGGTAAATTGTTGTGAATGGCAAATTGTATGCATAGAAAATCGTATATATGGCAAATCATTAAGTATGTGTAGTGGTTCATGATATGATAGAGAGATTATGTGTCATGATCATATGCACACAAATCAGCAAATTGCCAAATTGTTATATATGCACTGCACATATTTTTTGTGATTGGTGCCACATGCATGAAAATCAAAGTCCATGTCTATTACATCTCATATTGACATGTAATTGTATATGTTCTTGAGATCAATGTCGTGATGTGTTGTGAAAGAATTCTTACCTTATGATGTTGTTGAATGTGTGATCATTTCTAATGTTATTGTTATGACTACTATGTTGAGCGTGTTTGACTATTCATCTTTTATTTCAAGTCATGAGTTAAAGTGAGAAGTTTCTCACTCCCCTTGTCTATATGTTGTTGTTATGTATGTTATTGCAGGTGATGCTCATCAAGATATTAATGAGGCTGGTGACAAGGTTTAGACCTTGTTCTAGGAGTGCTCTAATAGGACATTTGATATCGGAGCATAATTTTAGTATTACTTATTTTATTGTCTTTTACTTCTAGTACATGATGTTGAGTTATTTAAATATTATTTTATTTTAAAAGTTTTATCAAAAAATTTGTTATGAGAAGTTGGTTATGTGGTATCCTCTACCATATAAATTTTATTCAGTTAGATGTTTATGCATAAACTTGGTTATTTAGTTTAAATTATTTTCGCTTTATAGTTATTGTACATGCGAAATAGGGAGTGTCACATTATTCTCCATTATATTGATATATACATAGGAGGAAAAGACTACTCATATCAAGTCAAAAACTAAAATTATATCATTACGGACTAAATTATGGTACATAATTAAATAAATAAGATCTTTATAAAAAAAATCATCATAATTATTGATTATTTAATAATAATAATAATAATAATAATTTAAGAATATTTTATATTATTATTTGATCACAAATCATCATATAGGATAAACTTGTTAGTATAATAATTATTTTAAAATTATATTAAAGATAATTTTTTCAACGATTAACTATAATTACGATTAAATATTAGCTCACAACTTCAGACAAACTCATAGCGTGTTATCCGGAAATATTCACATAAGACTCCCAATTCTAAGGAGAATATAGTTTAGATTCTCATGTTTCGAATTCTAGGGTATTGACACAACCAAACCCATGGTCAGTTGAACTTCAAATCTTTTTTCCAAACAATTTTTTTTCAAACTTGAACTTAAAGCCTTTTCTCACTAGGATTTTAACTTCTTTAATAAGTTCAAAGCTTCGATTTTTTTTCAACGAAATATAAAGTATTTGAAAGGTAATTATTGCTTTTTGTTGAAATTGGAAGGTAAGAATACGTTTTGTCTCCTTTTTTTGGGAAAAATATTTGGTATACAGTAAAGTCAAATACCACTACAGTTAATATAATTATTAATGCATACTTAAAGTTGCGCAAGATTCGAACTGCCATCTAAGTTTTGTATAAGTGGCTACAATAACACGAAGAATAGAAACGCCAACCTAAATAGTAGAGGAACAGGGAAAGAACATGAAGCAAGATAGAAAATAAATAGGAAAGAAAGAGAAACCCTATTGAATCATTTTAAATAAATCACGCCACCATTGCAATCTCTCTTTTGTCACGACCGACATAAATGATTGTCCACAACTAAGGCTGTGTAAAGGTAAAAGTGTAACGTGGGAAATAATGAAACACTATACTTATAAAGTTATCAGTTTTATCGCCTAATTCTATTTAAGTTCTAGTTTGGTCTTTTGTAGTCCTGAAAGAAAAAAAAAGTTTAGTCTTTTGTTTATTCAAAATTGACAATCAAATAAGACTCGGATAAGGTCATGAATTCCATGTAATAGTGTAATACAATCTGGTTAAGTGAAACCGGACTCCTAGAGTAAAATGTTTTAACAAAAATTTAAAGGACAACTTGTAAAAGAAAAAAGCGTATAATGAACTAAACAAATCTTAAAATATACGTAGGGGCTAATATAGGAGCTAATAAGTACAATTTTGAAAAAAGTACGTTGCAAAAAGTTAACGCGTTATTAAAATCTGGGTAGTAACTCCCAAACCAAAACACTTTATAAAAGAAATGTTCGACCCTTAGTCAAAATTTTCTTTTATAACGTCACATTCCAAATTCTAAATAAAAATGAGATACCCGTAATTTCTTTCATTGCAGCTTTAATATGAAATCAGAAATTACTTGCATTAGCTGACCATGGCGGACTGGTATTTTCTTTTCTAACCGTACCACTTGTAATTACAGAAGCTGAAACACCTTATGGACAAAATTCTCTTTGTACTTTCCACATCTCTATACACTTTGTATATTCAATCTATATTCTCTACATGCCATGAAATGCTCGAATGAGTTTCTTCAATAGACCAAAAGCAACATATAAAACAAAAACCATTACAACCTTTTTGGAGGCCAGTATCCTTAAGTTCACCCTCAGACCATATTTTCGCATTAAACCCAGAGAAGCAGCACCCAGAAAGAGAAACCAAGAACCAATGGTACATAAAAAGACCTTCACGGCCTCCGAAGGTCCACATATATGGGCGACATCAGTGGATACCTCTACATAGGAAACTGTTGAGCTAACTTGATTGCTCTCTGCCTGATTTAGTCCAAGACTCTCATTCAACCAATCAGATAACCTAATAAGCATTTTTGCAAGCCATGCAATTTCATCATTGGAAATGGGACGTCTCATCCAGTCACCTTTGTATTTAACATCAGAAGAAGCATGATAGCCAACTCTTCTAGGCTTGAATATCTCATCACGAGATTGTTGATGTGGCATTGGTTCAGGACAAATTGATGACTTCATAGTGTCTCCATCAAATAAGCACCCCAATTTTGCCTTCAGTGAATCTATGCATTGCAGGCTGGGTCCAATATTATCACCAGATATAGCTTGTAATTCAGCTTCTGCACGCAATATAAACAACTGCAGTGACAGAAAAAATGAAATGAGAAGACAATAATCTATATATTATATTTAATGATTACTACAGTTAGACAACTCTGCCTAGGTAGTGGCTTTATTACCAATCTTTACAAAGTTGGTCACTTGGTCCAAACTACAAAAAAGGGATACCATAGAAGACATGGACACGAGATGGTTACCAATGTTCACATAATACATAGTTGGTCCAAACTAAAAGGCAGATACCAAACAGGACATGGATATGATATGGTACGGAGATGTGAATATGGCAAATTGTGTGTATAATTATATATAATAAAACAAAAATAGTACAAATTTACGTAAACATATATCCAAATAGAGAATTAATATTGTGATATTCCAACTGCATTGGCAGAAAAGCTTAAAAAAGAAGAAAAAAAATTGTAAAATACAACTAAAAGTATTAGAAGTGTGCAAGATGCGTCTGACATGTATGTGTCCTACACGGGAAAAACATGAATACATGCAAAGCTACTATTCCGAAGCATCCGTGCTTCCTAGGATCCCCCCAAGCCAATATAGGTAAGGTGGGTTGACCTAAAACATTGCCATTATAAAGACAAACGAATGACCGTGTAGTTGTTGGTTTAGAAGAGTTCAAGGAATGCCTTGTCTCGAACATGAAAAAATTGTCACTATAAAGACAACTGATTGATCATGTAGTTATATTATAGTTAATTTATAGACACAAATTTATAATAACATGAAAAAATATAAGACCTGAAGGAGCTGTTGTCCACCATCCTCCCCATCAGCAAAAAGTCGCAAATCTTTGTTCCAATTCTCAGGTAAAAAAGAGCCATCAGCATCAGTCTCACATAAACCGTCCTCCCAGTCCTGAAACAACCAGTGGTGTGGTATTAATAAATATACAGACATTAGGTCATGCCAAGTACTTATTAGGTGCAAAAGCATTTAATCAAGCCTCTAAACAGGCTATGAAACAAAATAACAAATTAAATAACGTGTAAAGAATCAAGACATGAAAAATCAGTACATACAACCAACAGAAGAGTGTTATGAACAAATAATCACAAAAGCATAATATATTAGGAAAAGATACATAAATGGTTATATATTAATCTCCAAGTCTAAAACACCTTCCCATGTAAAAGCCCTTTGGACTTGAGGCATGATAATGCACAAGTCTACATACATTGTGTGCTAAAATTTAAATTTTCTATTAGCAGAATGAAGGGATGCAAGGATCAAACTCTAGTCAGTAGGTGAAGGAACATGAAAGATTTTATACTCATCATCAACAATATGAAAAAGTTTAGAAAGTGGGTAGCTAGTAGTTGGTATAGAATCCACCATTAAGGTGAAGAGGTGTATTTAAATGCAAATAATAACAATTCAATAGAAAGATCAATAAAATAGGGAAAAGTGTAAAAGCAGAAGTGAAATATCAAATCACCTGCAACTGTTCACGGATAGTAGGAACATATCTGTACAAGTTATTCAACATTGGCTTGCTTGATCCAGCTTGTATAGAATGGAAAAGGGAATCCACAGTCTTCAAAAGGTCAACGAGCTCTTTTGATGATGTCAATGTGTCTAACACCTGTAAATGCAGGTTAAAAAATAAGAAGTGATCTATCTAAACCTCAAGAGTCTGTTATAGATAATGCAATGCAATCCCTCTGAAAGTTACAATCACTGGAACATTGTTTATACATGACAGGAATGAAAAATGAGTCACTATAAAGAATTGATTATTCTTTTCAACCAAATACACATACAGATAGGTCTAACATGAATAGAAATGCAATCTTTGTCCCAGCATGCAGGCAAATAATGTGCCCTGGGATAACTTGAGGTATCAATGAGAATAAAATCTAAAGCTGGAGGAAAAAGAAGTAATTTAAAATATGAGAAGTACAATTCTACAAGGATCAGATTTAAATTCCTAATAATTAAGGGGTTAGTTAGTTAGATTAATCCCAAAATCATCATGCCCCCCCCCCCCCCCCAATTCAGTATTGGAAAACAATAGGACTACCACGGTTTGGTGTGCGATCAGAACAGAGTAAAATGAACTAATTCTGTAATGATCTATTCTCCTTGGTTTCCACCCTTTTTAATGAAACCACTATGCAAAACTTTTTCAGTTCAAGTTATGCTTTATTACTATAAATATTTTGTAGTTTTGAAAAGCAGCAATACACCAAACACAGAATAGAATCGATATGCCATGTTCCTGTCATCCAACCACGTTTACCAAATTATACCTAAAATCCTTCACAGCAGTTAAGCAATCAGGGATCTTATCAAAAACAACAAAACAAAATACACACGTGAATTTGGTTCGTGGTGTGCAGGAAAAAGTGTCAAAGGCAGATGATGAAATTATGCTAAAAAAAATCTACAGATACAATAATGTATAAACCATGGTTAAGAAACACACCTTTAGCACCATCTGCACTATGATTTCAACATCACTATGAAGAAACCTGTGAGCGAACCCAATAAAATGCATGACCAAGGAACTGTAGTAGAGATAATTAGAGAGAACATAATCCTGCCACCGTGGCGAAAACCCACCCCCCGCAGGCAAAGAATTTTCCTTCTTCTCCCCATCGATCCCATCCACATTCGAAAACTCATCCCCAGTCATGGTCCAAGGCTCCAAGTAACCAACCCAAACCGACAACACCTGCGACACATTCTTAACCGAAGCAGCCATGGGGCAAAACAAGAACGTCCTCAACAAAAATCTATACAAAGGCCTCTGCACGCAGAAGTTCCAACACCCTAGCGACCGCACAACCCCCAAATCCTTGCTCTTCCCACCCTCCAGGCTCCTCCACCGGGGACTCCCACCCTCGCTGCCGCCGTCGCCGCTAGTTTTAGGTAACCCATGAAGTCTCACTACTTCTTCAAAGAATAACTTAGCAATTTTGCTTGCATCATCCACTTTGTGGCATGGGATAAAATGTGCCATTTTACTAAAACGGTCCACTACCACAAAGATGA